ATTATGTACACATAATTTTTTTCCAAATATAGCATAATATGCATCATAAACTTGTGAATAATCTTTTTTTTTAAAATTTGTATTTAATAATATGTATTATTTTTAGATGAATAGAATATTATGATGTTAACATTCATTCTATTGCAATAACCAAAAATATAAATCAGAATCTCGANTTAATACATATCAGTTTTACAAATGGATTTATTAAAAATTTTAATATAGTATCATTTGATTTTTTTTTTTAAATCTTACCTAAAATAGATTACTAGCGTACAACTCTCTCAATCTACCATTAAAAACTTTTAGGGCTCCATACCATAGTAAGCTCATTACTACTTTTATACGCTAGTAATCTTGCAGGTAATTTTCCTCTCCTTTCTCAACTTGGCTTGCCTCGTTCTTAGCCAGGAAATTGCACCAGTACCCTAAACTTTAATTCTCAAAACACTTGTTCTACCACACGTATATTGAAATTCTTGTTTGAATTCCTATTTTTTTCAAAGCCCTAATTAGGTTACACTAGTTACCACAAACATTTTTTCCCGTCTAGTAATATGCAATTTTAAATATTAATCGTCTCTAAATCATATATACACTATATATATTTTAACTCATGAGTTAAAGAAAGAAAAAAAATCAAGAAGTGTTAAGGTTGAGATCATCCAATTCACAACGGTGATAACAAGCCAAACTTTTAATAGTCGTCGTGACCTTTTTAGAAATAAAATAAAATAAAAAATAAATTTTAGCTACTTTTCTTTTCTATCTAAGGGCAGATTAGAGTTCTTGAGTCTTGTTGTAACAAACGAAAAGAAAATATAAAGCTAAAATGAAAAGCTATTATCAGATGAGATTGAGCTTTGGTCATAATTTGCAAATTCTTCTGTGTTGCAAATGGTACTTTAGTTCTTTAATTTGAATATCTTGTTTATGTAACTCCGCAAGTAACTCTTCTTTCTCCTTTGTGAGTATCTTAATATAATCTTTAAAATCATCCGGATGGTTAGAAGAGGAATGGTTTTGGAATGTTTTTCATTAGATGAGGTTGGCCTCGCAGAAAATGATCATTCACATATTCGATTATATCTTGTCTAACTCTTCTAAAGTTCGGCAAAAAAATAAGCAAAAGCAATGTAGGAAGATTCAGACACTAATTAACCACCAAAAATGATTAAACATAGAAACTCAAACTTAAATAGGGGTGAGAGCTCTCCACATATCGAACAGAGACTCTTAGCACGGAACAAACTGTTGATGGAGGTCGCTGGACCGGTGAGAAAATCTCCTGCTATCAAAAGGACGAGATGGAGAGTGATAGAGATCGGCAAAGGGTGTTGGAGGAAACAACTCGAACCGAGTCCAGATCTGGAGAGATTAGTAGTGAGGGCAAGCAAGGCAGGTTCTTAAACTCGGAGAACATTAGATTCGATAGAAATGATCTGGTGGATCCCGTGGAGGGTCTGGAGGATCAGGCAGGTCCGACGGATGCGAAATCTCCCACGGTTCTGGAGGAAGCAGATTTGGTGGCTCCGGCAGAGGGGAGAGGGATAATGAAGTCAGGAGCAGCCGTAAGGTTCTTCTATATATAATATATCTACTACTCATTTACATGTAGTGGCTCGTTCTTATAGATTCTCGATGAGATTGGTGTTCGTGTACATGTATTGTCCGTTTTTCGAATGCATATACACAAGAGTTGTATAGGCAAACACCAGTCAATCATTTTGCGGCAAAAGGAAATGATGAATCTCTAAAAGAAGGTAAGTAAATGACAGAATCAGTAGTGAGATGATTAAAAAACACTCATTCAAACCGCAACTCCATTATCCACCAAGATAATTCACAATCTCTAAAAGAAGGTAAGTACTAAATGAAGTTAAAACACAATTCAAGCATAAATTTAAAAGTTACAAAGCATTTTGATTACTTTCTGAAAAAAATACCAAACTCCATTATCCACCAAGATAATTCACAAACTCTCATTATGCGTAACATGGTCTGTTTAAGCTTGATAATCATCAGCACCTACTATGTTGCTCTGCGGTATAGGATCGGTTTGTTGTGCTCTCTGGGCAGTCCGATCTAGAGACTCACCGAGAATCTGGGCAGTCCAGTCTAGAAGATGACTACAAAGGGAAGAGGAGTCAGCCTCGAATATCCTCAAATTGATGGATGTTGATGATCATGAACAAAGATTGTTTATGTTGACTGATTTTTTGGCCAAAAGCCAAAGGTGTACATATCGTGACTAAACCAGAAACAAGAGAGATGAATAAGCTATTGGATAAGAGAAGCTAATGCAAAAACGGCAGATCAGGTGGTTTATTTGGAGGAGGATGCACGTATATTGTTTGTTTGCAATGCCTTTGAGATCTCAAAATTAACAATTTCTAAAGAAAAGCCAAGGAGCTCAACAATAAAATTAAAAGTGTATATATATGATTTAATCAATAAATGAGACCGTTATGAATTATGAAGTTTTCATCAATTTCTTTAAATTTAATACTATCAAAATATGTAGAGGTCTAATCTAGTTATATCTTAACATTTCGTTTTGTTTAATCTAGTCAACTACAATTGTTAAGGTAACTTTATTTGGTTTGACTATATTATTAGTCAACCATTTAACCAGAGATCTTCTTTGACCAAAAAAAGCAAAAAAAATTAGAGATCTTCTTAAGATGATTTTTATTTGGTTTGACCATATTGGTCAACCATTCAACCAAAAAATCTCATTAAACCATAAAAGGATTACATACTAATTAAGAGAAAATCGGTTTTCACACAAAACATATAAATATTATAGGTTGATGTATTTGTTATTTTAACAATGATCTTGTATCTCAAAAAAATGGACCATCTCATACTTTTCATGTTGGTTATTGTATCTTTTAAGCTAAATGAAGCTTGTGTAAAAAATCGCGTAGTAATTCAAAACCAACTTGGTCAAGGTCAAATTCTCAAATTTCATTGTCGTTCTAGGGTAGACGATCTTGGCATCAAAATTTTAAACTTCAATGCGACGCCATACATCATCAAATTCCATGATGAAGTAATATTTTTAACAAAATGGGCATGTATTCTTAGGAAAGGGCCTAACATGGAGTATTTTTCTAATGTTGAAGTATACAAAGCGGGAAAAAAAATTATTCCTGCATGTGGTCAGCTACGTGTATGGATAGCAAAAGAAGATGGGATATATTTTACAAAAAAATTGAGTGATTCGCCGGTGTTGGCACTACGATGGAATAAAGGATGATATGCTTCTATTTTTCCTAAAACTTATTCAATGTTTATGTAAGGATTTTTATGTTTCATGAACTAAGCCATAAGGGCTATGTAGCAAGCTAGTTTTGTTATAATATATAACAAGATACATAATAAAATATGAGTTTATTGTGAAAGTAACATAATAGTAC